TCGACTCGTTCTTTGGAAAATAAAGCCGAAAGTCCCCGGCGACACTCTCTCTCTCTCTCTCTCTCTCTCTCTCTCTCTCTCTCTCTCTCTCTCTCTCTCTCTCTCCCCCTCGGCTGGGGAATATTTTATCGGCTATCGTGCCTCCTCTCGCTCTCCGCGTGGAGCAGCCGAACGTCCGTTTTCTTTCCTCCCCGACGTGCGAAATGCATGGATCAAAGTGATTCTCGAGAGTGAGGTTAGGTGCAGAGCAGCTAGCTCGCGGTTCCGAGCGAAAAGAAACCGAGACGGGCGAGTAACCTGGTGAACTGTCCGATACGGGACGTGCACCTTCCTCGGTAATAATACATTACTCCCGGTACCCCGGCGGATCCCCCCGCCGTGCTCATCGGCTCTCGTCGGCGACCTTGTTCCGCAAAATCCGGACACCTTGGCCCTGAGGAAACTTGTTTCTTCAACGTACCGTTTTATCGCTCGCGATAGCAATCGCAGTGTCGGCCGGTGGCCGGCGACGATAAGTCGCCGGTTCGACCCTTTAAATCGAATCCGCGATACATTTGTAAGCCGTGGACGCATTATCCACGGGGAATAAAAATCGGCGACACGTGAGGCGAGGCGAGGCGAGGCGAGGCGAGGCGAGGCGAGGCGTGGCAAGGCGAGGTGAGGCCGGCCGGCCGGCCGCCGCAGACACCGGAATTATTTGCGCGTCGATGCCGGCGCGTCGGAAACAACTCGGACGCTGGCGACGGTGCCGCGATCGATCGGTCGAAATATATTCACCGACGAAACGTGCGTTCATTCATGCGACACAATGGAATGCCGCCGGCACACGCGCGCGCGCCCGCGTGTTCTCTGTGTTTTACGTAGCCGTGGTTGCGACTTTACACATTCCCGCCCGCCGCTAAAACACCTGACCTGAAAACACGCCGGCTGGACAGCGAGAGTGTAACTCACTTCTCCGTCACCTGCCTGCGAGTAAACACACGATTGTGCGTGGAAATTGTGTTTTTGCGCGAGTGTGTTTTCTGGTGCGCGCGCGCGCGCGATGCAAACACAAAGAAGCGTTTCACGCTCGCGTGGTCCCGCGAATTCGCGAGCCCCGCCGTTCGACCGGGGCGAAATTCCACGTTTCTTTTCACACTCGCGTTCTCAATTAGAGGCTAAGGAACGTAAAGCAGCGTCGATCGCGGGGCGAGGGGAGAGCCGCCGAGGGAAAGGCGAGAGAGCTAATGTACTCTTAGCGGGGCAGTAATTACTCTCGTGTCTCTACGGTTGCATAATCTTCACTTCCCTCTTCCATTAGCGGCTAATGCGCACGCGCCGAGCGGCTAAGTTAATTTCGAAAAATCGTATTCATTAGCACTTAATTATCCGAAGTTATCTGGACGCGAGGGGAACAATACGGGGGGCTACGCGGTTGCTCGCCGGCTAGTTGCGAGCCGCGATTAGCGTGCCCGCTAAATATCGAAAGGCGCAAGTCGCACGCGCGGCTGGCCCCCCTCCGTCGGTCGCGATAACCGATGGGTGCAAAAAAAAAATTTTTTTTTTTCTCCTAACCTGTCCCCCCCACCTGTCGCAATTCGTCCCTTGTTCGTTTTTCTTTCACTTTGATATTTTCTGTACTTTGGCGCCTGGTCTATCAGCCGAGCGCTAATGGCGGAAAAATGGTCTCAATCGCGGCGGAGGAAAATAATGAGGAGATTAGTGTGTCTCTGTGGGATACACCGATGCGACCATTCGTGGGTGAAAAAATATCGCGACTGACGGAGGGTTAAATTCGCAGGTTCGCCGGTGGCGGAGAGACAGGATAAGAGGTGTGTCGCTTTGGGCGTGCAGCGCTTTCTAGGAATGCCCTTGCGAAAGATAGTAGAAGAAGCACACAAATATATATAGTCAATGATTGTCTTAAATAATTGTTTAATTGCTTTTACCACATATATGGTAATTTCTCATTCACAAATATAGTAAGATTCAATATTCATATAGTTACAGTTCTGTCATCATTTAGCGAATATTCAGCAGGTAATATTGACTATATAAAAGAGTTACTTTTACCTACCATTTTATATTTGCATCCGTACAATAATTCTAACTTACTATAATTCTTAGTAAAAATATTACATGGTTGGTTATACTATGCCTGTATCGTAATTATTACCGATATCATGGTAATACTTACTATAAATATGATATTTCGGGCTATAATTTAGTTGCTATATCATTATAGTTCCAAACATCATATACTTTTCTCTCAGTGTGTAACCATTAACGCGGCCGCACTTCGGATGTTCCTCGATACGTGTCGCTGCCGCGGGATGCAACGACCAAGCGATGGTCCGCGCCGAGCGATACACGTGCACCTTCCGGGGAACTTCAAACCGAGCATTATCGCACACGTCTACACACACGTACATATACGTACGTGTGTATAATATTTGCGTATTTTTCTCCTTTTCGCCTTTCACACGGAACTTTAATTGCAAGCTACATATTTATTTCTCACGATGAATAATTTTACCTCGGACGGAATTAATCGAGTCAAGTTTGAGGCCGATGAATGGAAATTATAATAATTTCTTGAGCTTGAGGTTTGAGGCTCACAAGTGAATAATACGCGCGATCGGCCGCGGGATCACACCGACGTACTTAGTGCAATTACGTTCCGACGTGTTGGGCGTGAAACTCGGCGATCAATATTAAAGTCATGTTTTTCCGCGGCTTGTCGATTGACATGCGCGTGCAGGTAGTGATTATTATCGACTCCGATATCTCAGCTGAGACGATTACCGATCGGCGAGTCATGGACGTTTTCCGAAGCCGAGTCATTACGCGGCGGTTTCGCAATGCGTAATTTGCTGTGCGTTTTTCGATTGCCACGCGGCCACACGCGCGCGAGCTCGCGACTTTTTTTCACTCCTACGTTAGCCCGGCGTCTCCACTTCGGGGCGGCTCGTTTAACGAGCCTTATCATACAGCGAGCGGCCGCTATCAGCCGCGATCGAGCCATATTCGTAATTAAAGCCGCGAAGGCGGTCGTACGTACAGCACGCGGTCAAGCTTTACGTTCTCCTGAACCGGCCGATAAGTATCGCGCGACGTCACGAAGTTCGCTTAATAGAGTCTAAATTAGTGAGCGTAACAGCCGAGAAAGAGAGAGAGAGAGAGAGAGAGAGAGAAACAAGAAGACGAGAGACGGGACCATTGTGCATCTCGCCGAACGGTGCGTATAAATTCCGCGTTTATCCTCCCGCCGACCTGTGAATGAATTGCCGCGTAAAGTACAAGCGGCCGTGTTAAGATTTTACGCCGGCCGACAGTATTATGAGCTTAACGTTATCATACTTTAGCGGGTGCTCTCCGCCGAAACCATGTCATACCGGTGCAGCGCGCGGCGAACGACTGAACAAATTTCGCGTCGTACCGCGGCACGCTGTATTTGGGAGAATTAAGAGCGGCCCGTGTCTCAAAGACACGTCGAGATCCTGATGTTCCTGCACCTCGTCGCCGCGCTCTCCGATCGGGAAATCTCGCTCGTGCGAGAGCGACTGCTCGCGAGGAATCGTCATATTATCCTCGGATGCTACGTAACTCTGTGCGACATGTGCAGACGCGTCGATGATAATCTAGCGATAATCCGACGAAGCAACGCTGGCTGAAGTCAGAGATGTAACGGACGCGTCGCGCTTACATTACGGTAATCGATGGTACGCTTGTGTGTGTGAGAGAGAGAGAGAGAGAGAGAGGCGCGGAGAGAAACGTTTACAGTCGATCGTAAAGACGGATGATTTACGCCCAGAGGTGTTTGTAAACGAAAAATAACAGCGCGGCGGTTGCTCCGCCGCATGCACGCTCGCGCGATTGCGCAAGTTCCTTATCGCCGTACTTCGTCGCACGATCGGCCGATAATCGCGGCCGCGAGTGCACGTGCGCTTAAATACTTCATTACAAATGCTACACACTAGCCGCGGAGTCTTTTTAACGCGTAGCTGCCTTCTCGGAAATCCCTCGATCGCGGCGCTCGTGCGAACGCGCGTGCTGAACATGCGTGGCATCGTTATCCCAGCCTCACTTGACCGCTGCTTCGCTCAAAGATTTCTGTTGGAACATTTCGATAGCTCACCGGCGTCTCCTCAACCTGCCGTGAACATTCGTAGCGGGATAATGCAAATTTCGATGCGCGAAGCGCAACCCAGATTCTCAAAAATCCGCTCTTACTGAGGTCGTCGGTGTACCTGAGTCGAAATTTTGCCCCTCAATACTCTATTCGCTAACCTCTGAAGCCCCGCATCAACCTCTTTTGACCTCTGCACTTGATCTTTCTAATCCGTACATAATATTTGTGGATAAAACCAAGTGTTATTCACGTATGTCTTATTATATAACTTATCATTGCAAATTACATTTATTCGTTACTTCGATATTTTATTACTTTATACACTGATAGAAAAATATAGTTGAATTAACTATGATCTCGCTATATTTTATAGTTCACTTTGGCGTCAACCATATTTTTATTAGTTCGTGGAACCTGCAAAAGATGGTAGAATAAACACAAATATATATATATAGTCAATGATTGTCTTAAGTAATTGTTTAGTTTACTTTTACCACATATATGGTAATTTCTCACTCACAAATATAGTGAGATTTAATGTTCATATAGTTACAGTTCTGTCATCATTTAGCAAATATTCTGCTAATATTGACTATATAAAAGAGTTTACTTTACCTACCATTTTATATTTGTATCCATACAATAATTTTAGTTTAACTTACTATAATTCTTAGTAAAAATATTATATGGTTGGTTATACTATGCCTATATCGTAACTATTACCGATGTTATGGTAATACTTACTATAAATATGATATTTCGGACAATAATTTAGTTACTACATCATTATAGTTCCAAATATCATGTACTTTTCTCTCATTGTAGGTTTGAGATAAAAGCGTGCGGGTGTTCTCGCTATTCCAACTTTTTTTCATGAAAAAAGTGTCCAGTTTTATCCCGATGAAATAAAATTACGATCTGGTCGCCATATCTACTACTTTGAATTTGAAAAAGTAGAAAACGAGTTTCACACTCGTTAGCAGCGACCTGAAAAAAAGCCTGAAAATTTCGTTCAGACCGACATTGCTTGACTTCTGCCGAAGCCGAAGCAGTCTTTCGCGAGATTCGGCTCGCCGGTCAACGGATTAATTCGATGCTCAACGAAGAGAGCGACAGCCGGAGCACCGTGGATTGTTGCGCTAAATATTTCTTGCGCCGTTCGATCGGCAGGCGACGCGAAATGAGCCCGGTCGAACTATTCCGGCGGAATAGTCTTTCCGGATCGCCGTTCATTTGCGCGATTGCGGGGCCCCGTACATTCCTATTTCGTCCCGTTATTGGCCGTATATCACCGCCTGAGCACGACGCCTGACGCATAACGCGTGTGTGCATCCAGCCGCGCATTAAGTGTCGCGACGCCAGTAAAAGCGCTGAAAAATCGAGAGTACCGCGGGAGGACGTTTCGGCCGCGCGAAGGCGCGGCGCGCGGATAAAATGGTCGTAAACCAGATGACGTTTGTGAGATTCCGTTTGCGAGGTATTTTTGCGGACGAACCGGTTGCTATCAGCGGGTATGCCAGAGTCGCCTGGATGGCAAAGGATACCGCGCGCACGCGCGTTTCATCGACCGTCCTTCCCCTAATCCTTTGTGGAATTAAAGACCAACACCTTCCATGTTTGCCTTGCGCGTTCATCGCGCGGCTTGTTGTTCGTGGTATTAATAATCGCTCATTCGCTCTAATATTTCGCAGTTAATTAATATAATCACCTCGCGTAATACGCTCGGATATACGTTCGATATTATACCATGAAGGCGGGGACGGGCCAGGCAGCTGGCTATTTTAATCGATAAAAAGTCAACGCTTAGGATAAAAGCTACAAACTTCGAAGCCGGTTTTCGCCTCGGATTCGCTAATGCGAATGTCGCATGCGTCGTTTCCCAACGTGTTCAATCTCTCTCTGTCTCTCTCTCTCTCTCTCTGTATGAGTGATTCGATTTATTTATGTGCGTTATTGTTTGCTGATGTTTACAGGTAAACGGCAAGAGCGTGGCTTGAGCACGGGGAAAGACGGGAAAGCGGGGCTTGACGAGAAAGACGGCGAGCAAAAAGCGTAGGGAGGTGGAGGAGAGGCAAGCAGGTGTGAGAAGGGGCATGAAAAACACAGATACAGGCACGAGCCGAGGTGATTCAATAGGTGGTAGCCAACAGCGAAGAACGGGGGACGAGTGCAGCCGAGGACATCGTAGGGGCGGCGTAAGGTGCGAGAGCGCGCGGACGGAGACTTCCAACTTCGGCGGTCCACTTTCCGCTGCCGGATGTCGCGCCGACAGCAGAGGACGGAAGGGCGACCGTGGAAGGGCCGAGCGATTACATTAGTCCCCGCTTGCACTTCTATACTTCTATACGCGGGAGTAAATAACACGTGTTAAGAATCCATCGCGAGAGAGGGCAAGAGCGCCGGAGAGCGGAAGAGTGTGAAACTTCAAGCGGAAGGGAGCGGCACAGTTTTCCAGGGCTGTTCGCTCTCGACAATACGTGAGTTATTGTTACTTGCTACCGATAGTCGCTCTTATCGTCGCTCTTAATCAACGAGGAGGAAACGAGAGGGGGAGAGAAATAAGAGTCATTGTTATTTACTCGCGCGCGTCGTTCTCGCTACTTTGTTACCTTCATGTGATATTCGTTGTATCATTTTTTTTTTCTTTTTTTTTTTTTTCTCTTTTTCTCTTCTTTAACATAAGGCGTCGTTGCGGACGTTGGAGAATCGAGACCGCTCGTAGGCGCGATTGATTTTTCTCGCTGAAAATCCTACACGTGACGAACACGCGCGCGCGCGCATTGACTCGTGGACGGATATTTTTCGAGATGTTTATGTACTCGGCGACTAATCACGACGTTTCCAAGTGTCTTAAATCAATGCGCGCGCGCGCGCGTGTGTGTGTGTGTGTGTGTGTGTTTCTTAACCGCCATGAAATTCACGCTAGATCGAGCTTAATGATACCACGGTAAATCGGTCGTTATTTTTATCGGAAGCTCCGTGGCTTTTATGATTTCGGCATAAACAGCATTTAGCGCGGGAAAGGTTAACGAAATAAACATAAAAATGTTTTATATCGCACGATTGCGCGTGCTAAGGTCGATTGCACAATTCCATTAGCCGCGAGTTTTACACTGGCAAGATAATGCTTAATTTGCCCATTACGAGCGGCTCATTAAAATTTAAATTTTAATCGTCTCCGATGAATCCGGTATCAAAAATGTAACGCATAATACGTCCGTTACGAATTATATATTCATTTTCATAGACTGGACAATTGGCCAGTCACCGGCCATTAAAAATGTAATTCTTGATCCCCGGGATCCGCATAAAAATTTCATTCGCGTATATGCATGAGTTATCAATCGCGTCATACACAGTACGTAAATTATAATAAATCAATATATTTAACGCCATCTTAACAATTATCTTTTTTTTTCTTCTTTTGCATCAATACGCGTTGATTATTCCGGCGAATAATCGGCAACGGGCATTTATAAATATTTCAAAAACGCACGCACACACATCGAGCTCGACATGGTTTATTTAGCGCGTCGTACTGTAAACGCCCGAGTAATTCGAGTTGGAGAAATTGAGGGCCACCCTGTCATCTTGCAGGGACGATAAAGGAGAGACGCCGTCCGCCAGCCGTGCCATCTTGTTGTCTCCGCTCCGACGTTTCCGAGGTACCGCCATTAGGTACCATTCTGTCATGACACAAGTACTATGGAATCAACCAGCGCGGTGTACCAACGCAGTGTTCCCTTATATCTGACGAGCGACTTTCGTTTCGGCGATCACTTCGGCTAATATATATATATATATATATATATCAATTGAACGAGCTGCTTAACGGCCGCATCGAAGATTCGGTTTTTGTCTGGGGTATCGAGCATCGATAAATTGCTCGAGGATAAAGATAACGGTGTGTAGAACAAATAATCGGCCAATCGGCCGTTCACATCGCCGCATCTCCGACAACACACACACACACTCACACACACTCACACTCACACACACACACACACACATCACACCCATCGGCGAGCTCGAACTCGAAGCGTCAGGTCGAACGCCTCACGGTAACGCCGAGTTCACCCGCTGGGCAGCCTGGCGTTTGACGTTTGACCGTTCGTCGCGCGGGATCCAGACTTGCGCTCAGAGTCGTCGAGGAGCGAGGAACGTGAGAGACCGAGTGGAAGGGTGAGGAGACGAAGTGAAGTGAGAGGGTGTTCTCGTGGAGTGCCAGAGTGAGCACGATAGCACCTCTGGTGCCCTCGGCCGTGGGTCCCGAGGGGACGGACGCCATGGCGGCCTCTTCATCGTCGAGCGGCGAGCAGCAGTACTCACTCAGGTGGAACGACTTCCATTCGAGTATTCTGAGCACATTCCGGAATCTGAGGGACGAAGAAGACTTCGTCGACGTCACGCTTGCCTGCGACAGTAGTAGCTTCACCGCGCACAAGGTCGTTCTGTCGGCATGCAGCCCATACTTCCGGAGATTGCTCAAGGTCAGTGTACTTTTTGTTTTGTTTTCCAACGCTAGGCAAATTCTCTACTCGCTAACAATGCCGCGAGCACTCTTCGTCAGCCGATGCAAATTGGATCGATCTCGCGATCAGCGAGTCACACGGCACTCGCACATTCGGAAGTCATCGAACTGTCATTTTCGCCCCATCCTGCTAGATGGCATTCCAATCGTCGGACCGTCCGGCTTTAATCTCTCGAATTTTTCGAAAGAAATTTTCGCGAGAATTGTCGGAACTTCGGCGACGACAATTTTATTAAATCAGCCCCTTGACTGATGGAGATGCAATATTGCGTTCTGCGATATTTCCGGTTCAATATTTCCATAAAATTGGGCACTCTTCGAGATTTTTCGGATCGCTCTGTTCAATGGTAAATTTGAAAATTCGAAATAATGATTATAATATAGCCGATCTGAAGCAGAAAGAAATGAAAGTTTTTTAGAAAAACTTTAAAATATATTCTTCAAGTTGTTCTTTTCAGTGATGAATCTTAAGAATAAAAATTCGAAATGGCGACTCCTCAAATCGCGAGATGACAAGTGACCGAACCGAAAAGTTATTCGCATATTATATAATTTAACATTTTTTATTATATTTATATATTGGTTATCTCGGTATTTTGTTATTTTACAGATTTGTGATAAAAACTTTCTGTATTTTCGCTATTCAACTTTTTCACTAACAAATGTCCACTTTTATTCTGATGAAATAAAATTACGATTTTAGTCGGTATATCGGATTCACCATTTTGCATTTGAAAAATTTCGGCTGCGTATTCGTAAGCAGTGATCTCAGAAACTTTCAGCTACAAAATTTTAATAACAATGCTTAACTTTTTTCAACATCTATTCACGCGTGTTTATCGGCTTAAATACTTTTGTAAAGTTCAGCTCGCCAGCCAAGGGGGGTTAAATCGATGCGAGAAATATCATTTACCGGTCATTGCATGCACCAGCGATGTGTAACTCGATCGTAAAGTACGAAAGTCGAGTCAGGGTCGCACATGACACGATGTGTGTGTGTGTGTGTGTGTGCAGTAATACCGCGGTGGCTTAATGAAATCAAGCTGATAATCGCAAACCACAATACATATTTACACTTTTTACTTACGGAAACTGATATCTCTTTCTTTCCCGGGAAGGTTTGCGCGATGAGCCACTCGACAAAGTGCAAACTTCATTTTTGCCATCTAAACTCGGACTCTTCCGAAAGACGGGCAATTTTATTTTATTCGCAGAATAACACGATACGTAAGGAGTCGTTTAATTTTATCAATATCTGCTTCCGAATGTCTGCTTTTGTTTCGTTATCCCTCGACAACGCATGTGTCAGGTTTCAATGTGACATGGCGACGTTATCGATGACGTCGAGTGCCGGCTCGAATTCGGAGTGATGTATCATCGAGCAGTTTAGCTGCTCCAGTAATAATTTCTACCTCCAGAGCTGCCGCTAATCTTAGATGGTTAACGGGGGTAGTCGGTGACGCTGATGTGCTTCATTTGCGCTGCAACTTTCTATAATAAGATCTCCCACACGAGCAAATTTGCAAATGTGTTTTGCAGCGGCGTAAAACATGCGACAAAGTAGAACAGATCGAAATTATTCATGTAGATTTGTGCAAACGAGCCGCATACAGTATGATAAGCGAATATTTTATAGTGTCGGACATCTCGCGACACACGAAACTAATCCCGATCAAAATATATTTCGCAGCCGACATATATTTCGCATTTTTTCTTTTTTTTTTTTTTTATTATGTAACGATCCGAGTGAATGGAGCCCCCTGTATTTATCGGTTTCCTTAAAGCCGAACTGTAAAATCGAGATTATCGATATTACATCCGGAACTGACGGTGTCTAAATTCCGCCAACGTAGTCGCTGAGATATCCGTCATTTTTTTTTTTGTTCAACACTATCGCTTGTTTAACATCGTTTTTCATCTAATCGCGCGTACTTATCGCGAGGAGGACTGGTATTTCCTCTTTCTCAGAGAAACAGTCTCCTAAACCTCGCGCTTCGACGATTTCCAGTTTGTAATCGAGATCGCGATATTCCATAAATAAATCAAGCCGACCATCGTTATCTCCTCCATGAGCATTTGGCAGATCCGGCGCGTGGTTCGCGCGAACAAATGATGGGAGGGGGCTGGAGGGGGGAGGGGGCGATTTTTCGATGTCACAGGGGTCTCAGCGGAGTTCTGTATCGCTCGGCCGGGTAAGTTAGATGATAGAAATCGCCGAGAGGGAACAAAAGAAAACGAGAGGAGAGGAAGAGGCATTTTTCGACGAGGTGGGGTAGATAGAAGGTAGATACCGCGACATACCGCAGAGAATTCGCAAGTCGCGGTTTCCTGTGTCCCTGATATTCCCGGTCGGGAAGAATGTACAGGCGGAATACACACCGCGGCTGTGTGTGTACGTCTCGTAACCCGTCGTTGCGTCATACATTGCAACATATTACCGGAAATTGTCAATTTAAAAAGACATTAATTTTACAGTTGCTATGTTAACGCATTTAGCGACTACGATAAATAATGAATTTTACGCAATGCATTCGTAATTCCGACATTGCCGGGCGGCGGCGATGTGAATCTGAATTGGATCGCTAAAACGCATGAAATTATCAATTAAAGCAATTTTGCACCCTCCCTACAACTATCCCGCGTATTCTACGGCGGGCTCACGTCCCGCTGATGGAAACTAGCCTTCGCGGAAATCGCGTTTTTACATCGAGCGCGGGCAACACGCAGGTGGATGAAAGTAACGCGGTGATCTTGTTCCGCGCGCTCCCGCAATCGCGAATTATAATAACTCCGCCGGTAATTATATACTTTAATTGATTTGAACAAACGCACGCGGCTGTAACCGGTTTCTGCCTCATAAACCCCGTACGTTGCAGACGTACGTCGTAAAAACAGTGTGAGTGAGTGAGTGATTGCGATTTCACTTCTCCCACATTTGACCACATGCATACACACACACACACACACACACACATGCCGATTAAACGATTATCCATGTGCATACTCTCTACATTCTACATACATGGTCTACATCGCTAATAAAATTTTCAGGACAATAATCCGTTATTAACTTTTGTTTCGCGTATACTCGAATGACCCCGAATGCGAAAAGTACAAATAATTCGGCTTATGAAACGTAATTTGGGGACTTTTATGTACGTTTGCTGGCTTGGCGGTTGGAAAAACGTGTTTTTTCCCGAGTGAAAACGAGATTATCCAATTCCGAAGGATTTTTTTTGTTTTTAAGAACGACGAGGATTTTCCATTTTCTTTCCCCCATCCGAGTACCCAAACTTCCCGCGAAAACTCGCACAGAAACATGACAAGTGCGTGTTTCGCGGCAACTCGAGACTTTCGTTAGCAACAATGTCGCTTTCCTTATAATCGCGGAATATATAATGTAAAAAGAAATCCCGCATCCCTTCCGCAGCTCGATTTCTCATAGTTCTCACGCGGTTGGCATGCGGAAGCAAAGTAAAATGCAAAATTCGACGAGCTTCCTGTCGAACTCTCGCCGTTGGTCCTTCCGGTAGCCGGAAGGAAATCTAGCTGAAAGCGCGATAAATAGAGGGCGCCTTCTGAAGAAAACGGCGGTGGGAAAAAGACGAGGGGAAAGTTCACGGGGGCAACCACGGAGATTCCTGGGAAGACGCCGTGGATGCGACGACGTATCGCGACGACACGTCGAAGTGATCGATGGCGTCTCGCGGAGAAAAGGGTGCTGGATCTCCCGTTAACGACGGCTTGGACGCCACGTTATTATGCAAATCGAACCGGAAGTCCTTTGTGAGGATCCCTCCTATCAACAAGGATACCGTGAGATTGCCTTCTTCCGCCGACGGTACATCGTCGGCTGGA